CCCTTTGTTACTTTTCCTTGTCCAGAGCATGACTTGAAAACTACTGGTTGGAATTCAAAACAACTTCATACAATGGTCAAGCAAAATAAGGGGTAGTGCAGTGCACAAGAACCATAACTCCATCTTGACTAATTACAGAGTTATTGCCCTTTGTTACTTTTCCTTGTCCAGAGCATAATTTGAAAACTACTGTTTGGAATTCAGTACAACTTCATACAGTTTTCAAGGACATTAAAAGGAAGTGCAGTGCACAAGAGCCATAACTCCATTTTGACAAAATACAGAGTTACTGCCTTTTGATACTTTTCCCTGTCCGGAGCATAACTTAAAACGTACTGGTTGGAATTCAAAACAACTTCATACAATGGTCAAGCACAATAAGAGGAAGTGCAGTGCACAAGAACTATAACTCTATCTTCAGTATTTATAGAGTTATTGCCCTTTGTTCTTTTTCTTTGTCTTTCTGGACTTATTACAGAGTAATTCAATTAAACTTCATCAATGGCCAACCACATTGAAAGGAAATGCAACATACATGAACCACAATTATCTTTAATTGCCCACAACCATAACTCATGTTTCAATTCTTTTACAAGGTATTCTGTTACTAGTAACATCCTCATTTCCGAAGCAGACTTGTGGGGGTATTAATCACATTTAGTGATAGTTCTAGTTTTGAAATTAAATTAAACATGTCTGTTATAGTTTCATTCTTTCAACTTGTGTTTATCTCGTTCATGTCTGCCTCTTAGAACAGAAATACTTGCCCATTGTGGCTGGGTTGTTGCCTTTAAAGGGTTTAAGCATAAGAATTGCAGCAACTATTTATCCGTGCATGATTGTAAGAGGCGACTAAATGAGATAGATTAACTGAAGTATATAATGCATCTCTTAGCACCAGAAGGTGATGTGGTTTGCACTTCTAGTATTGCTTTGAAGTTTAAACCCAATGTTATATAGCCAAAATCATCTTTCCTGTTCTGGCACAATATGACTGAAACTGTGTTGGTGTGTCGTGAAACCATCCAAACTAACAAATAAACATAAATACTTTAGTGTCAAAAAAAGAAATATTGTTATGAACTGAGTAGGGATTGTACCCATGCTTACTTGCTTAAGAGGCATACTGACCTTATAACAACCATATCAGGACTCTTGGTTTGAAATCTCTTTATCTTAACTCATAATCCGCTGGAATCAAAGAAAGATTCTAGTCTTTGCAATCTGTATATTTGAAGAGAACTGTTAATTCCAAGTTTAAAAAAGAGAAAATCCAAAACACATATGTTAAGACACAGGTGGCAGTATCAGTGTTTGGACACCCCACCCCTATCTGCCCCTGGACCCCTACTACAACCCTAAAAAAAAAAAATTCATCACTCTAAGGCTTACTATAAGGTACCAAATACAAACCACCGATGAAATTTTATAAAAAAAAAATTTTTTCCACTATCAAAATTATAGTTATAGAAAGGTGAAAAGCCTACTATATGTTCATTTGCCAAACAATGTGGAACACGGGAAATCGTCATTTCGGCGACTGAGGCGCATTCCGAATGCATTTTGCTGCATCATTCATTTACATCAAGAAAAATAACTTGAATTCCACAGCTTACTTAATTCAAGTCTAACGAATATCAATATTCTATCGATTTTTTCTATTTCACGGTAATTTTTTTACTTGTCGTTGCCATTTTGGATTCTGATACCTGTGTGTTATACGCGATCTGATTGGACGTCCAATTTGGCTCGTCCAATCAGATCACGTATTTCAACCCAGGTATCAGACTGCAAAATGGCTACGACAATTCAAAAAATACCGTGAAACAGAAAAAATCGGAATGATAGTGATATTCGTTGGACTTGAATTAGATAAGCTGTGGAATTCTAGTTCTTTTTATTGATGTTAATGAATGATGCAGCGAAATCCCGCCGGAATGCGCCTCAGTCGCCGAAACGACGATTTCCCGTGTTCCACATTGTTTGGCAAATGAACATATAGTAGGCTTTTCACCTTTCTATAACTATAATTTTGATAGTGGAAAAAAATTTTTTTTTATATAATTTCATCGGTGGTTTTGTATTTGGTACCTTATAGTAAGCCTTAGAGTGTTGAATTATTTTTTTCAGGGTTGTAGTAGGGGTCCAGGGGCAGATAGGGGTGGGGTGTCCAAACACTGATACTGCCACCTGTGTGTTAAGAGTTAACATTAAAATTTCAAAGTAGGGCATTTTTCTGTGGGGGCGGTTGGGAAAATGGGTCACCGGGTTACTGCAAGTACAAAATATAACAATATTAAATAATGTCAAACTATGACAGTTGATCTCATTATTAGTATATACACTGAGGGGATATTTTTTTCAGGAGGGTGTTTGTGAATTTACCTAATGCAGGATGTGAAAACTACTTAGATGATGTTAGAAATGCCTGAAAAACATGAAAAGTCAAATCCATACTAAAAAATAAATCAAAAGTAGCAAATGCTGTAATTTTAGTAGGTTAATATACCATTATAAAGTCCCGGTACATGGATATGTTTGAAGTGGCTTGAGATAAAGGAGTTGAGAAAATTGAGATTATTGTCTTTTTATCATGATAAAGAAGTTCCGTTTATACCCTGGGACTTTGATAAGGCATGTTGGTGCATTAATAAGTGTCTGATTAAATTTTGAAAATTTTATAAAAAAAAAAAAAAAAAAAAAAAAAAAAAAGAAAGAAAAAAAAAAGAATGAAATGATATAGAAAAAAATTAAATTCAACTAATTCTCTTTATACCAAGGGCGTAGCGCCCATTACGCACAATACGCAATTGCGTATAAAAAAATTCGGAAGGTAAAAAAATAAAGTTGAGAAAATCTAAGTTTAAATGACTTTATCGCTATAAATTTAGATCTCCATTTCTGTTTACAAAATATTTCGTTGCGTCATACTGTTTACTAGTGTAAACTATGATTGCGTCACTCCATCGTATGACGTTTCTATTAATTATCGTAATATATGTGCAATTGGAATTTAAGTTAAGTTTCTGGTTATCTCGAAGCATTTACAAACTTATTGCACAGAGATAAATGAAAAGCTCAGCATTAATTTATCTACAAACTAAGGCTCATGATAACTTATCGTTGGTTAAATTCTCAGAAAATAAAGATTATTAAGACTTTTCTTAAAGATTAAGACAAATCCTTTCTAAATCGTTTCCTTTGGAATAGCTCTATTTTAAAACGACTTTAAATCTTTTAAGTTCTAGATCAAGATTTTAAAAATCATCAACTCGGGACAAAATTTAATTTTTGGTGTGTTGTTAGTTGTAAAAATGAAAAGAAACATCCGTCAAATTCCAGGACAAGCGACCGTGTTTATGGTCCTAAAACAGGACCATATTCAAGTCGATAATGAATCTGACCAGGCAGGAACAAAACAGAATTCACAAGAACTGGCATGTGAACCTCCTGTGATCAGCAAATCAGACGCCAATGTCGCGTCTCCTTTTCTCCCTTCTTCATTTCCGTCCACCTCCTCTTTTTTGTCTTCCCCTGCTTCTTCTCCCCTCGAGAACCGCCACTAGCTCCCTGGGAGCACGATTCCTGGATATCGGAAGTATTGATATCAGAAGCCGACTGAGAGTGCCATATTCTAAAAAAATGTTGTCCTCACCAAACGGTTCGAGCCACATACAGGTTGGGTTGCACCTCTCAGAGAACTCGAAAAAGGGCAACAAGTAGGCGAGTGCCGGACTGTGTGTTTGAGCAAGAGAAGCACCCATCTACTTAAAGTACAACCCTTTATTTAATGGGGGTATTTTGTGCTCCATGTTTTGCCTTTAATGCGTCTGAAAATGTGCTTTTGCTTGTCCGTTGTTTGACTGGAGCAACGCTAGAAAAGCCGTTGATGGACACACACACTCAAAAGAACACATGAATTCCATCACAAGAGCCGACCACTATGTACGCATCTGCAGAAAGGAAGAGCAGAATGTGGTCGAGTTCGGATCAACAGCCTATCGGCAGAAAGTACAAAAGAACAGAGAGGCGTTAGCAGCCATCATTGAGGCCACATTTTTTGTGGGCAACAAGATATATCTATGAGTCAGTCCGTTACTTTCTCATCACCGCCTGAGGAGACCTATGGAGTGATCTTAAGACCATTTAATATCTCGTTGTATCTGGTAATTTCCCTCCTTTCTTACGATGGAATAGAAGTGTTCTCAAAGTATAATTTTTCTCGTACATTTGGAAATAATACATACACTTCGATAAATAAGACTAAAGGCTTAAGAGAAAAGCCGTTCTTACCAAACTTATTTGATGAGAAATGCTATAAAAAAAACTTATCTGGTTAAATGCGTTTTACAATTGAACGGGCATTCATTCATGATCTGCATCCTTAATCAAGCTTCACATGGAAAAAAAATTTGTGTATGTTTATATGCACGTGTAAAATAAGAAAACTACAAGGCGTACACTTCCTTTTTTCTTCACAAATCTGTTCGAAGTTATAATGAAATAAGTTAAAAAGTAAAACGAGCAGCTATATGTTTATCAATTTATGGGGAAACATAACTTGAGAATGCTCCATGCTTTACGTGCAAAAGTTGCTTCAAGACATGCCAGAGTCCACGATTTAACATCTAATTTTTCAAAATTTTCCGGGGGAGATCCCCCGTACCCCCACCAGCGGGAGGGGGACACCCCCTCCCGCAGGCTCCCCCTCTCGGCACTTCGTGCCTCGCTTTGCGTATAATTTTTCAAGCCCTAGCTACGCCCCTGTATACTGATTTAATATTTTGTTGGTATTGTTTATAATGAATAATTCTCTAATACAGACAGAAAAAAATATAATAATACTAACACAAACACCTGTGAATGATACAAGTAAATCAAAATAAAAAATATGAACGTATTTTGTTGAACTGTATAATGAGTAATGAGACATGGTATAACAGTATTATAAAATTGCTCTATATCTTGATTCATTGACATGAAATCTTCCTCTATTTCAGATTATATCTCAAATAACAACTTAACAGGAAGTGGTAAAGTGAAGCTAGCGCAATGCCGGGTGTAGGATTTATACGTGTCAAGCTACTGCAGGTGGAGCGGGGACAGAGTATGGACAGTAAGGCAGACGTGTTCGATCCATACATAGCAATTAACGTAAAGGAAGCTGTAAATACTCCAGGTAAGGCTTCTATAAGTTTTCCTCAATGTCATGATGATGCTTTCCAAACTCCGACAACACTCAGATATGACAAAGAATTTGAACCTGACCTTTAACAGACTCCACTGAGGTCCAAAACATCACATTGTTAAGTGCAGTAACAGGTTAAGTCCAACTAAATTTTATAGGAGTTAACCAGTTATTGTACTAAGTGAATGAAAAGCATAATGAAAACATGGTTTTTAAAATTTAGTAATAAAAGATACATTTAAAATGAAAAGAAAGCTACAGAAAGTATTTAAGAGAAGTTTAGGTTTAGAATAAATTGGGACCAAATGTTTCTTATGATACACTTTAAATTTGCCAATTTCAAATTCAATATAGAACAGGTCAGTCCAACAAATGCGGCTGTAAGCCGAATAAGTACTTAAAACAAATTTTATCTATGTAGTTCAAGATAATTTAAAGAATGACAAATTTGGGATAATAGGCATGGACATTTTTTTTTAAACGACACTTGACTGTGATCATAAAATGTTCATTATGTACCATTTTGCCTTATTGTCTCTGAAATAGGTCTATTAAGTGTCTGGACCCAGGATTTGTGAGTTTTATCTCATACTATCTGGCATCAGGTGCGAATTCTTCCTAGAATATTTAGTTCAAAACAATATGTCTTAAATGCGATTTGTCTTCCGCCTCTTTTTCAAATGATTTAAACCGGGGAAATTCCCATATTTTGTTGTAAAAACAGGTTTGTACTGGTGAGAAATATATGTTGAATACTAATTACCATTGGCAAAGGTAAATTATTATATGTTCAGGTTCCAGCGGTTTAAAGTTTAATACTCAGGCACTGTAAATTCTCCAAAATGAAGAAATAAAACGAAGTAACACTGTTGGTACTCCAATGGACTTCAAGAGTAATTCTATTGCATAAAAATAACATTAATTTCTACATTTATAAGTTGAATTTCAAGGACACTTCTTCTTTTTGTCCTTTATCAAAAGAATACAGGGTTGCTTTATTAAAATTGCAACTGAAAAAGGGGGGAAAAGAAGATTTCCTTTCAAGATGAAAAATTTTAGTTACAGTTAACACATGACTGGTTGACAGTGACTATAATGTAGTTTAAGAGAAATTACACTTGATATATTATTAAATGTTAGGGTAAACCATTGATATTTGAAAATACAAAGAAGGAAAATATGTAGAGTAATGTATGCTGCAATTTAGGATAGAATGATTGAAAATATATCAAATAAAGATGTGAGGTTGTGGTGCAAAGACAGGGACGGTTTGAATAAGACAGTGTATGATTTTAGTGACTTATTGTCCAGATCAGAATTTGAGTGAAAACATTGGTATCATTGATTATTATTAATTAAAGCACTACTTTTATTACCAAATGATTGCATTTTGGACCTCGTGATTAATATTTCTACTGTCAAAGCCAAAAAATCCAAGGAGGAAAATAAATAAAGCAAGTTGGTTACCCTGCCAGTTATTTAAACCAGTCAATAATAAGCCTGAACCATACTATGAAGGTGAAGAGGTTATGATTAACATTAATGGGGAATATGATTGGAGTTTTAACCAGCTCTGCCTGTCCCTGCACCACCTTGTCAATGTTGTGGTTTGTTTTGATGACATAAAAAGCTGGTGATGTGTTCATCTCACAATTTGAGGACTTTAAACATGTTTTTTACTATCTTGACTGTTCTGGCAGGGCACTGAGGCTCGTCTCGATGTGTTTCTGGATGGGAGGACCATTGGGTTACAATTGGCAGATGCATTTATATAGCATATTTCAAACTGCTTTGAATATATTATTCTATCAAATTATTCTGAACTTTCGCAACATTTTCTATAGACAAGTACCTGTTGAATAGGTAAAATAAACATAGGCAAATATGTTTTTCACCTGATGTATTGTTAATGTTACTGTAACATAATTCCTGGAAAAGTTCAATATTAATATTCCTGTAAATGATCCTCACCTGAATGTCTGCCGGGTCATGTGCAGATCAAGAAAATTCAGCTTTTTTTTTATGTAAAAATGATTTATTAGAATAATTTTAATACAAAATTCACTTTCTGCTATCATAGACTAATTTGTAAAATAATTAATTTTCTTTTTTGATCTAATCTAAATTTGATCTAAGAGCTTTATATTCAGGAATTATTTGAGATTCACAGTAAGAAAGAAGTAAAAACACTGGACTCTGAAGCAGTGAATTATTTTAAATCTTATATTGTATTAAAAAAAACTAAGAAATATAACATATTTGAGATACATCGTGGCCCTTTCCAAGTGTAGAGAAAGTCATATTCAAGGGAAACTTCAATTAATATTAGAAGAGAGTTGATGGAATTGAATATAATTGGCCTGCAGAAAGTTCATATATCTCCAGAGGATTATAGTCAATTTTCATGTCTTTAATTTATTTTCAGTGCTTTGATGTACCACTTAAGATAATTGCATTAGATCATGCAATTATATACAAATTATATACAAAATTGTACATGTATTTAGACAGGCAAAATAGATGTTGTTCTAACTCAGGTGCCCATTTGTGCCTGAGGCCTTCCTCCATCAGTAAAGCTATTAAGAAAGTCACCATATGACCTCTGTGTTAGTGCAACATAAAACCCAACTTAAAAAAAAAGAAGGTATATATAGATTTTTGTGGTATTATGACCTGGATGTGACAAAACCACTCTAAATTTAAGTCCCCCATAAAAGTGGTCCAGATATATCTTTCATAGATTCTTCTACCTGAATGTATTATTTCCATAGTACAGGGATAATTCACAAAAGTTTTAAATAAAATCAAATATTGTAAACCTGTTGTCTAGTTAAATAGAATTGTAAAACTGTTTTACACGTAGATTCCTTTAAGGTCTCATTTTTAAGTGTCAAAATTGCATATATCATACAGGTCATGTAATGAATAGTAAGCCCTCTTTACTCTATATTTTATACCAACTGTTTTGAAATTTAATGCTATTCTAGTATTTTAAAATATTATATAAAGACAATTTTTCATAGTACTTTCTTCCATATATCATTCTGGTTTTGAATATAAAACTTTTAATAGCAGTGTTTTTTTAGCGACCCTAAAGTATTGTACTGGTTGAAATATAAAGAAACATCAGTCCACCAGAAATAAGTTTTTAATGTTGTTTTAATGATTAGTGTTTATTTGGGTATTAAGAAGTTTTATTTAGTTTGCAAGGCATGCTGTTGGTTGTGGTGGGGTCCACATTCGAAGCTTCTGTAAGTGAAAGATATTATTCAGCAACTAACTGTAAGATAACTGTTACAGTACCAAATTTTTAGTCTGGACTGAGCGAACAAATACCATGTGTACACTTTCCTTAAATTATCTGTGCCTGTTTGTGCAAGAATTAATGAGAATTTATAGGGCAAAGGAGGCAATGGTGGTATTAAACAATCAAATGGTAGGCCTTTACTATATTGGTATTATAGAATGATAACTCTTAAAGCAATGAAATAGGTCTGTTTAATGGAGCTAATATTCTATCCCACACACATTTCATGAAACAAAGTGATTCTCATTTGATACTCAAAAGTGACCAGTAAATTGTCTAAAGAAATCAATAGTAAGCTGATCTAGAGTGTTTTTGGCCACTTTTTTCTGGCCATGCAGAGTAATTGTTCAGTTCGGTTAATTGGCCAGATATAAAAACCCATTCTACAAGAGTTAATGGGGGAAAGAAGATGAATTCCCTAGTAATTGAATTGTCACTTAGTGCCAGATGAGTAAATAATGGCCACAAAAAATGAATCTCAGCATCATGTAGTTGTTTGTGAATCCAAAGGAATGGCAGTTTGACTGTCTGCTCTTTATTTACTTTTTCCCAAACAGTTAAGTTTTAAACTGTAGTGTGTAAATTTGCTGTTACATGAATAGACAACGCCGTATAGTATTACAATGACATTTACTTTAAGTTAGTGCCTTATTATATGACATCACAAATTTATTGCATTACTATGACATAACAAACTTTAAATGCATTACTATATCATTACTAAGTGAGCGCATTACAATGAAATAACAAAGTTATTGCATTACTATGACATAACAAACTTTAAATGCATTACTATATCATTACTAAGTGAGCGCATTACAATGAAATAACAAAGTTATTGCATTACTATGACATAACAAACTTTAAATGCATTACTATATCATTACTAAGTGAGCGCATTACATTATGAAATAACAAAGTTATTGCATTACAGTTACTATGATATTACAAAGTTATGAAATCACTCAGACTCAGCCCATGAGATTACAAAGTTATTACATAACTTTTACTTCTTTCTTTTTACATTACTATGACTTTATAAAGTGCAATAATTTACTATACAATATACAGTCAACTATCGTTATCTCGACATCGCTTTTCTCGATATTTCGTTATCTCGATTAAATTTTAAAAGTCCCGTTTTTCTTCTCTATTTATCTATATTGGAAATATTTGTTTATCTCGATGTTTCTATTTCGATATTTTCAGTATCTCGATGTAAAATTTTAGCCCCAACAGTTATTTTCACACTATTATCCTTTGTTTATCTCGACTTATAGTTTTCTTTCGTCTGTTCCCGTCAGACGTGTGAAAAACACAATCTAGACGATAATTGCTCAATTAGCAGCGCGTGTCATAATGCCGATTATGTTTGTAACAAGTTTAGCTGTTTTTATAAAAGTTAATCTATATAGCGTGTTGATTGACTTGTGTCCAAAATGAGTGAATTTTACATTCTTTTTAAATATTCGAACACTGTATCAATTCATCATGACTTTAAATGTAAATGAAAAAATAAAAGTATAGAAACGCTATCGTTGCAATATTGTTTCACAAACATCACCACCAAATCAATTCAGCGGTCGAACAATCTCGAGAAAGACCCGATAAATAACCCGGGAGGATATCCGAATCAACCATATCCGATATCCGATTCACTATATTGGTGTATTACTGAGTAAAC